GTAAACTGGTGGCAGATATGTAATTAAAGCCCTCTGAACCTCGCCCAGGAATCACCCTCAAATGCACCAGAGCAAAGCACCTGCCTTGGCCACTCTTCTTGTGCCTCCTCTTCATGGGGCTCACTCTGCCCAAAAGGCCCTCCTCAAAGTTTAGTTGTCACCCTTGGACATTCTTTCTTGGTTCTCCCTGAATAAACTTGCACTTTTTCTAGTATTGATCTTTAATCCATAAAAGGCATTATTTCTGGAATTTTAATGTCCACATTTGTGTTTGTTTTAGCATTTACAAGATAGCATACTAAAACTACACCCATCATCAAACTGAAGCTACACTAGAGAAAAGTTAAAACAAACTAAACATTCAAATTATGCTGGAAGGGGAAACCAATATAAAGGAATTCCAATGCCATAGAACCCGAAGTGCTGGATTAGTAGCTTCTATTTTCAAAGGAGTGGTGTTTTGCTGCCACCAACAGGACAACAGGCATTCCTTCATGGAAGTTACAAAACTAACTGAATGTGTAAACTCATTGCAAATTCAGAAGACTGTAAGAACCCTTAAACTCAACAATAAAAAGTATGAGGTAACCCAATTAAAAAATTGGGCAAAGTATCTGAATAGATATTTCTAAAAAAAAAAAGAAGATATACAAACAGCCAATGAACTCATGAAAGGATGCTCAACATCATTAGCCATCAGTGAAATGCAAATTAAACCACAAGGAGATTCTGCTTGCCGCCCACTGGAGTGGCTATAATCAAAAAGGTGATAATAAGGGTTAGCAAGGGTATAGAGAAGTCAGAACCTGCATTGTTTTGGTTGCCTCTTATTTATTCTGTTGGTACGGGAGGGATTCCTGCCCTAGGATTATGGAGATAGTCGATTATTATGACTTGACTAAGAGAGGGCAGTGAGAGGGAGGAAAGGGGGGAGATGAGAAGAGGCTAAACTTGGCCAGACCGTGAAAATCTTGTGGGTTCCATTATAAACTGTGAAGTTTACCCAAGAGCAGTGGGAGGCCATTGAAGGGTTTTAAGTCAGGGAGTCAGTTACTTCTCTGACCCTCCTCCCTCATCCTTCTCAGAGCACAAAGCCTCAGCAGGGCTTTCCACCAACCTGGAATGCTCCTGTGCACATCAGCATCGCTCCCTCCCTCACTGCCTCAAGCCTTTGCCCAAGCCCCTCCACCCCTGCCCCCTACTTGGAGGAACCAGACTCCCTATTTAACATGGCAAAACCGACCACAACGCCCTCTACCCTGCTGAACTTTTCCTTTTCCCCCCAGCACTACCGCTTCTCATACACACTATTTACATACTTGTTATGTTTCTTGGTTATTAACTGTCTGCTACAACACAGGCTTCATGGAGGCAAGTATGGTATTTTTGTTATTTTAGTTCACTAATCTAGTCAAGCATATAAAATAGTGTCTGTCTCCGAGTAGGTGTTTAGTGAATATTTGCTGAATAGTAAATAACAAAATTTGTTTTAAAAGGACACGAATGGTGGCCACGTGGGAATGGCTGGACAATGGCCACAAGTATTTGGAGGAGGAACAGCATCCGCTTCTCTTAGCTCCACTGCTAAACCCAAAGCCAAGCCACCAACTTCTCTTACACATCGCACTCCAGAAAAGAGCGTTCTTCCTCTTTTTTAAGCATAGAACGCCCTCTTTAAGACCTTTATACTTGTTTCTTCTGCCTAGAAGGCTCATTCTCCAGATTTTGGCAGAGCTGGCTACTTCTTTTCATTCAGTGTTCAGCTCAAATATCAGCCCGTACAGCATTTTTATTGACAAGCTAATTCAAAGAAAGGGGACTCTTCCCCCTCTGCACCAACATCACTCTCCTTGATAAACCTAAACAAACACAATGCTAAGGTATTACATTTGTGCAATTACTATCTTTCATTCATCAGAACACAGGCTCCATGAATACGGGGTATGTCCTCGTCAATACTTTACTGCTAATGCCTAGAAGAGTGCCTACCACTTGGTAGGTGTCCAATATTTCTTACTGAAAGAGGTCACGGCAACAGTCCAGGTCAGAGAGTTCAGAGCCCAAACCACCCAAGTGGGAAGATTCTATACATTCTCATATAAGGGGATTAAGAAATCCACTTAGATGTCAGAGATTTAAAAAAGAGAAGACAGAAGAGAGGCTGGCTTCCAGGTTTCTACTTTGAGCAGCTGGGCAGTGAGTGCCTTTACCGAGGGGAAGGTGATGGAAGCGGAGGAACAGGTCTGGGAGGGCATATTGGTTTGGTTTTGACTTTCGGATTTGATGTGCCTCTGAGACATCTAAGCGGACTTGTTAAATTCACTGCCAAACATTTGAGTGCAGGCTAAATACAAAGAGAAGAATGAACATTTATAGATAAAGCCAGGGGAATGAACAAGATCAGCAAGGGAGAAGCTGTATAAAAATACTACAAATCCAGCTTTGCCATTATTAAGCCAAAAGACTTTAGGTAACCTGGGGCCTGAGCTCCTAGGTGTCAACTAGGGAAGAGAATTTGATGGTTTCTCTGGACATTTATTGTGTGCTAATGAGAAATCTCTGCTAACACTTAGCACAGAGTAAGTGCTCAGAAACAGCACTTTCCTTTCTGATTCCCTCCATCCCAAGAAACTCTTCTAATTCAGAGGAACCGGAGCCCCTCTGCCACTGGGTTCATAAGCATAAGCACTTTAAACTATCCCTAAGTTTATTTTCATATAAACAAATATACAATCTTCTATCTGGCATGTTAGCTTAGAAGCTAAAAGTCACTGTCATATGTGTTTAGAGTATTTTTCCAGATGGGGGCAATCAGTTCAGTCAAGTCTACTTGGATTCGGCCTATCTGCACGGTCTCTATGTGGGTCAGCTCCAGGATTCACACAAGAAAGGGATATAAATATAGGCCAGTAGCAGTCAGAAAGCTCTCCTTTATATCTTCTCTATCTGGTCAAATTCTCCAAGGCGATAACAGATTAGCCACGTATTAGTAGAGAAGGTACAAAAGCCTTTCTGCCCTGTGGCCAGAGAGTACCCTTTGCCAGGTCATGTAGAGGTTAACATGGCCAAAAATACCTGTTAATCAGAAAGATAACTTACCAGACAGATACATATTGGCTGACACAGAGTACAGGTCTGATATCCAGAGGGAAAGGCCTGGGTTAGCCACAAAAGACAGACTACGCATGTGCTAAGAGCATCAGTAAAGAAAGGTCACCATAAAAATGAGGAAAGGCATCATGGGAAAGAGGGGATAGCTGAGATTTTTAAAAAATTAGATATGATAGGAAGAATCAGAACTTTGTTAGACTTCTTACACTTAGGGTTTAATATTGTTTTCAGCCTGTAGTACATAATACTGTCACTAAGGCATTCTAAAAGTCTTATTCCAGCCCTACTCAGAAAGCATCTTAAAAAGTGCTTGGTTTTGGTTTGTTTTAAGGACAAGAAATAAAAAGTTAGAGGTAGAGAGATCCGTAACTTCACTAACAGATACATGCAAATACGTTTGTTAATTTATTGAAGCTATTGTATATAGTTTCCTAACTTCTAAAATAACTTTGGCATAAGAATGTTCATATCTAAACTCAAAATTATTAAATAGACAATTTAAAGTACATTTAGTGAACTTCACGAAAACAAATAAATATGAGATGAAGAGCAGCAACCCGCATCTTGAGTTGCATAGACCTGTATGATGCCACCCCTTTGTTCTAGATCAGCAGTTCTCAACCCATGGGTCGTGACACCTTTGGGGGTCAAACGACCCTTTCACAGGGGTCGCCTAAGACCTTTGGAAAACACATATATAATTACATATTGTTTTGTGATTAATCACTATGCTTTAATTATGTTCAATTTGTAACAATGAAATTGGGGGTCACCACAACATGAGGAACTGTATTAAAGGGTCGCGGCATTAGGAAGGTTGAGAACCACTGTCAAGATATTCCATGGCTAAGTATGGAAGCTCTCCTAAAACATCAAGGGGCTCTTTAAAGGTATCAAGTCATTATCTTTTGGAAAATTTGGAAACATGATGGGGAACCTAGAAAAAGATTCTGAGTTATCTTGTGACTACAAGAGTAATCACAATAATGACAGCTAACATTTATTAGGCAATACAATTTTCTAGACACTATGTTAGAAACTTTTATGTATCATCTTACTTAATTCTTACCATAATCCCATAAATTAGTTTCTATTAGTATCTCAAAACTCAGGGTCTGAGCACTTAATTACCCAAGGTCACTGGAACTGAAATTAGACCCAAATCTGAGTCCAGTGGCTGCGATTTTAACCACTATGCTTTACTGGGGAAAGGTGAGCCTATATCTTTTAATAAACAAGGCAATTATCACTTTCAATAACGGAATGTCATATATGACTGAAGAACAAAAACCGACTGGGTTATTTTTACCAACTCTGCTGCAAATGTCTTGCTGTTACCACACTATTAAAATAGTATTGATATGTTGATATAAAATCCAACAAGGTAATTATAACTGAATTCTAAAGTGTCTTATAAATTTCTAGCTATCATAGAAAGAACTGCAAATTGAAATGTAGCAGTTTCCTTTTTAGTCTGTATGTTACAGAAGCTTTCTAATAATTCAATGACATGTTTAGGTATCTCCAGGGATGTTATTATGGTTAGAAGTATTTTAAGAAACAAAACGAGCATCATTTTGACAGAAGCAGGTTTTAACTTTCTCTTTTATATCATCTAACTCATATGAATGAAAACCTTTTTTTTAAATTATTAGAATGAGAGCTATGACAGCAAGATTAAATAGATTATAAGGAAAAAAAGAAACAAAGTCTAAATAAACAACAACAAAAGAGATGGGAAGAGGGGAGAGGATCAGAGTTCCTCAAAGAAATCTTTTCTGTGTGTTTAAGAATCTAGAATGAGTCAGCGATGATAAGTTGAATTATGCCCAGTTCTCAGGGCAGAGAGGTCAGAGAGTTTGGTAACTTAAAAAGAAAAACAGACTTACCTTTAGAAGAGCCAAGGCTACGTGAAAGATTATATTCAAACCCTGAAATTAAAAGAAAAAGATTCAAAATCAACATTGCCACATCTACCACAATTTTATTAAGTATTTTCCCAAGACTTCTACACATCATTTTCACTTCCTATGCAATAAAAGCCTACTATGCAAATCGACCAAATGGTAGAACAGCCAGCGAAATGACTGGTCGCTATGATGTGCACTGACCACCAGAGGGCAGATGCTCAATGCAAGAGCTGCCCCCTGGTGGTCAGTGTGCTCCCACAGGGGAAGCGCCGCTCAGCCAGAAGCCAGGCTCACGGCTGGTGAGCACAGCGGTGGTGGCAGGAGCCTCTCCCGCCTCCGTGGCAGCGATAAGGAGCAGTGAGACGAGCGGTAAGGAGCAGCAAGCAGGTGGGCAGTAATGAGCAAGGGATCCTGGACTGCTAGAGGGCACAGGCCGGGTTGAGGGACCCCTCCCCCCTGCCGTGCACGAATTTCATGCACCAGGCCTCTAGTACAATAGGCCGACGCTCTATCCACTGAGCCAAACTGGTTAGGGCATGAGGAACTGTATTAAAGGGTCGCGGCATTAGGAAGGTTGAGAACCACTGCTCTAGACATTATCCATTAACCCCTCCCATCTCATCCCCCCCCGCCACACACAGACACAAAGTAAAGACTTCACAGCCTTAAACTAAAGTAGACTGTGTCAGACTATGGAAACAAAGATCCTTTTAGACCTCTGAGTTTTTAAAAATCAGGAAAATCTTGCTAATCTACCAGGATCTTCATTTCACTACAAAATGTATCCTGATTTTCTAAGAGGAGATATTTTTAAAAACTATTTTAAAATATTTAACCCATTTTTACTATTCAACCCATTTTTACTATTAAAAACTATTTAAAATGGGTTGGATATTTTTAAATACCTATTTTTCCTTTTAAATAAGACATTCTCACAGGAATACAATTAGAGGTATCATTAAATTGCAGAAACCGTCCATGGGTCAGCATTTGGTCAGTTTAAAAGCTACAAATAGGTTGGATTTACGATGTGATGATGTCAGTGCAAGCTGTGGTCCCAGCGTCCCACCCAACAATCAAGTGAACTAAGTGAACCACCGTTCACGCCTCTAACACCAGGAACTGAATTCGAATCCCCCACTGTCCACCTACTCCTACATGATCCAACGTCTGCCTAACCGAGCTGACATTTATTTTTTGAAATATATTTTTAAAAGACAAAGATGTTATACATTTTCCAGATGCCTCCTCTTTTCAGGAATGTGTAATCTGCTGCAATCTGTTTGCTACTGAGGGGGAAATAAGGCTTCCTAAGAGGACTCAGAGGGTAAAAACATTTGGAGAGTTATTAAGAGCAAAAATAACAATTAATATGTTGTTATGGTCACTTATTAATTATAGTAAAAGATCTCTCTCCAAGAGCAAGAAAATAAATAAGAACCCACATCCACTGAATATTTTCTATGTGCCAAGCTGAATTAATTATATGAAAATGTGTCCTTATTTAATGCCATGACAACCCTAAATTCCATTTTTCACACAGGAAGTTAAGACTTAGAGAAGTTAAAGTTAAATTTTCAAGGTCACACACCTAGTAAGTAGATTTTAACCTAAGCAGTGCCATTCTATACGTCATACTCTTAACCACTAAGTTAGAGAAGATGGCTCAATGGTGAATGAATAAATAAATTAGTTGGGTATTATTTAATGTGTCCTCTAATTCCTAAAGGTTTAAAGTGATTTCTTCCATTTCAAGGGAAGTAAATTTTTCGAACAGAGAGTGGAAAGATACCAAATAGGTGACTTCTACCAAAACCAAGGTTTATTATTTGTCCCCATATTGAAAATACAAAAGTAGCTGACCACTTACAGGATGTGAGGCAATAACCCCGCTTGTGGTGGACAGGAAGGGTCCCCACCTTCCTCCAGGGACAACAGACTGAGATCAGATTGGGAACCTGCTGTTTCAAAATTCAGTCACAGCCTGGGAGAATGTTCACTTAAAGAACACCTACACGTAATTGCCCCAAATGAAATAATTGCTCTAAAGTGCAGATCGCTGTGTTCCTGGGGAGGCCGACAACTAAGCACCCACAATCTTGCACAAAGGAAGGCTGAGTGCAGAGCACCCACAGAAACAGAGAGCGCACCCTGGGGCTCTGATGAGCAAGCAATCGTGGGCTCAGGGAGCTGACAGATTGCATGAGAAGCTGTCAAAGCTGACGTTGACAGCGCCGAGAACAAATGCTGAAAAGGTGGTTTCAAAAGTGCCAAGTGTGCCTCAGCACCTGGATCCTCAGGGATCAAAAGGGGAAATCAACAGCATGTGAACATGGAGTCCTAACAATAAGGCCGGGAGAAATCATCAAAGCAGAAGTGGCTAAGGTAAGTGGAGCAGACGCACAGACAAATACGGCTAAAGCCAGAAGAGATGGGTGCTGCCCTTCCTGATCCATCGAACACGGAACATTCCACCCCAGGAAGGAGAATGACTAAATGAAACCGCATTTAAAAAGCATAATAATGTATTGAGCACTTGCTAAGTACCCAGTGAAAGCTAGCAGTTATTAAGTTCATGTATTTATTGCCAACCAGATCTTATTTTTCATATATACTTTTCACTTAATTCTCTCAACAACTCTATAGCATATGTGTTACTGCTACCACTTTAGGGATCAGGAAACAAAGGCTCAGAAACATCATACTGATAGTACATGGTAAATCCCGGATTAGAATTTATGTCTGTCAGACAAAAAAAAAAAAAAAAAGAAATCCATGCTTTTTCCTTCTAATTCCACCTCTACTGCAAATTCAACATTGGTCAGATATCTGCGATGAATTAAAGATGGTCACAATTTTTTTGACACTTCTCTTTTTCAGAATCTGGGCAGACTATGCTACCTCTTTGACCAATAGAATGTGGTGAAAGTGAAGCTGTGCCAACATTCTGGGTCCAGACCTTCATGACTGACAGCCTCCAGGGCCCATTTCTTACAGCACTGGCTCTTGGAAGCCAGTCACCATGTAAGAAGTGCGATTACACCTAGACCCCCATGCTCTAAGAAGTCAAACAAAGACAAAGGGCCTGCAGGATGAGATGCTGTCCATAAGAAAGAGAGGCCAAGGGCCACCCAGGTGCCAGACCTGTGAGTGAAAAGTCACCCTGAAAGGGACCGCTCCAGACCCAGGCACCCCAGGCTGAAGCCACATGAATCAGAGATGAACACACAGCTGAATCCAAATTCCTGACTTAGGAAATTGTGAACAAAATAAATGGCTGCTTGTAATTTTTGAAAGCTTTTTATCTGAACTGATTTCAGATCTAGAAAAAAATTGCCAAAACAGCACCAAGAGCTTCTGCATATCCTTTGCAATGTTAATGCCTTACATAACCGCAGAGTAACTATCAAAACAAAGGAAGTGCCCAGCTGGTGTTGCTCAGTGGTTGAGCCTAACCTATGAACTAGGAAATCAAGGTTCGATTTCCGGTCAGACACATGTCCAGGGTGCAGGCTTGATCCCTAGTAAGTGGGGAGGGGGGAGGTAAGTGCAGGAGGCAGCTGATCAATGATTCTCTCTCATCATTGATGTTTCTATCTCTTTCCTTCTCCCTCTCTGAAATCAATAAAAATAAATTTTAGTTGTCAAATCTGCTTGGCCTTCTTTCATCTGAGACAGTTTTCAATCTTTGTCTTTCATGAACTTCATATTTTTGAAAAGAGTACCAGCCAGTTATTTTGTAGAACGTCCCTCAATTTGATTTGTCTGATGTTTCCTTATGAATAAATTTAGATTAGATGATGTGTTCTTTTTTTTGTTTTGTTAATTCTGACCTGAGGATATTTTCCCCATTTGTTTTTAGAGAGAGTGTAAGGGAGGAGGAGGAGAAACATCAATAAGAGAGAGACAAATTGACCGTAGGTGCCCTGACCAGGGCCAGGGATGGAGCCTGCAACCCAGGTATATGCCCTTGACCGGAATCGAACTAACACTCTAACCACTGAGGAAAACCGGCTAGGGCTCTATGATGTGTTGTTGACACAAATGCCACAGAAGCAATGCTGTGTCTGTGCATCTTATCAGGAGACTATGCAGTATCAGTATGTCTCACTCCAAAATCATTGTTTCAAAGCTACTTGGGTCTGATGTAGCATGTTATCAGGTAAGCAGAACAGAAGCCCTTTGTTTTCTTGTTGATAAATATCTTACTTCCATGATCTATAAAGTAATGCATTCCTCCACAGAAAGAAGTAAGAAATTATCATGCAAATATAAAGAAGTAAATACTGGCTGCATTTAAATATAGGTCCTATGGCAAGAATACCATAATATGTTAGCCAAAAAGTATTTTGCCTTAGTCTGCTCCTCATATTGTAAGTGAGCTCTTTAAAAGTTCAACCTTTTATAACAGAGTTTGATGGAGTAACCATTACTAGTAAAAATGATAGGACCTTTTGGTTTTTGGTTTTTGTTTCTGGATGACCACTAGAGGTCAGGATTGCAGCACTGAAAATCAAGCAGCAGCTAAAAAAAGATTACAGGGATCTTCACAGTAGCCTCTGTACAAATTTAAGTTCTGATGTTTTAAAACCCTCATGGCTAAGTCCTCCCTTGTGCCTACTATTCACTCACTAATGGAATATAAAATATGACAAAGTCTGGATGATTCCCACTTTTCCTTTCCCCAGTTTTATTATATATTTTCCATTTTTATTATCAAGTCATTTGTTAGTATTTTCCTAATTAGGGTGAAGAAGAGAGCTCAAGAATGGGGAGGGATGAGAACTAAATATAACATATGAATGCCTCTGTCTAACTGTGGATAATTTTTTTAACTTTGCTTGACTTGCATTTGTTTTTATAAATAAAGTACTGAGTAGACATATATCTACAAAGTCTGTGTCCTTAATTATAAGCAACCCTGGGAAGAATTCTTAGAGGTTGGTGACATCTGAATTAAATAAACCTTCCAGAAACAAGGCAGGTAAAGTGAGAGAAATAAATCAAGTTAGAGGTTTTGA